CTACTACTACTACTACTACTACTACTACTACTACTACTACTACTACTACTACTACTACTACTACTACTACTACTACTACTACTACTACTACTACTACTACTACTACTACTACTACTACTACTACTACTACTACTACTACTACTACTACTACTACTACTACTACTACTACTACTACTACTACTACTACTACTACTACTACTACTACTACTACTACTACTACTACTACTACTACTACTACTACTACTACTACTACTACTACTACTACTACTACTACTACTACTACTACTACTACTACTACTACTACTACTACTACTACTACTACTACTACTACTACTACTACTACTACTACTACTACTACTACTACTACTACTACTACTACTACTACTACTACTACTACTACTACTACTACTACTACTACTACTACTACTACTACTACTACTACTACTACTACTACTACTACTACTACTACTACTACTACTACTACTACTACTACTACTACTACTACTACTACTACTACTACTACTACTACTACTACTACTACTACTACTACTACTACTACTACTACTACTACTACTACTACTACTACTACTACTACTACTACTACTACTACTACTACTACTACTACTACTACTACTACTACTACTACTACTACTACTACTACTACTACTACTACTACTACTACTACTACTACTACTACTACTACTACTACTACTACTACTACTACTACTACTACTACTACTACTACTACTACTACTACTACTACTACTACTACTACTACTACTACTACTACTACTACTACTACTACTACTACTACTACTACTACTACTACTACTACTACTACTACTACTACTACTACTACTACTACTACTACTACTACTACTACTACTACTACTACTACTACTACTACTACTACTACTACTACTACTACTACTACTACTACTACTACTACTACTACTACTACTACTACTACTACTACTACTACTACTACTACTACTACTACTACTACTACTACTACTACTACTACTACTACTACTACTACTACTACTACTACTACTACTACTACTACTACTACTACTACTACTACTACTACTACTACTACTACTACTACTACTACTACTACTACTACTACTACTACTACTACTACTACTACTACTACTACTACTACTACTACTACTACTACTACTACTACTACTACTACTACTACTACTACTACTACTACTACTACTACTACTACTACTACTACTACTACTACTACTACTACTACTACTACTACTACTACTACTACTACTACTACTACTACTACTACTACTACTACTACTACTACTACTACTACTACTACTACTACTACTACTACTACTACTACTACTACTACTACTACTACTACTACTACTACTACTACTACTACTACTACTACTACTACTACTACTACTACTACTACTACTACTACTACTACTACTACTACTACTACTACTACTACTACTACTACTACTACTACTACTACTACTACTACTACTACTACTACTACTACTACTACTACTACTACTACTACTACTACTACTACTACTACTACTACTACTACTACTACTACTACTACTACTACTACTACTACTACTACTACTACTACTACTACTACTACTACTACTACTACTACTACTACTACTACTACTACTACTACTACTACTACTACTACTACTACTACTACTACTACTACTACTACTACTACTACTACTACTACTACTACTACTACTACTACTACTACTACTACTACTACTACTACTACTACTACTACTACTACTACTACTACTACTACTACTACTACTACTACTACTACTACTACTACTACTACTACTACTACTACTACTACTACTACTACTACTACTACTACTACTACTACTACTACTACTACTACTACTACTACTACTACTACTACTACTACTACTACTACTACTACTACTACTACTACTACTACTACTACTACTACTACTACTACTACTACTACTACTACTACTACTACTACTACTACTACTACTACTACTACTACTACTACTACTACTACTACTACTACTACTACTACTACTACTACTACTACTACTACTACTACTAAAAAAAAAAAAAAAAAAAAAAAAAAAAGAACTACTACTACTACTACTACTACGACTACTACTACAACTACTACTACTACTACCACTACTACTACTACTAAGGCAAGATCAGAGCCAGGAGTAATAAGTAGCTCTCTTAAAGCCAAATACCAGAGGACAGAGGCTGGCTTTAATAAAGGTGGACAAAGCATCTGCCAGAAAAGCAGAAAAGAAAGGCAGGTTACGAGTTGGCTTTGTAAGCTGCCTAATTCGAAAAACAATTAAAGTAACAAGATGTTACATATGCCCAGGATAACTGTAAGAACGAAAACAAATCAAAACTTTGCTGCCGGTGTGGAAGCTCAAACCACCGGAAAAAAGAGTGTCCAGGCCCAGCACGGTGCTTCCTTTGCCCAACAACGGATAACAAGCACGAAGCAGGCAGCGGGAGCTACCCTTTATTCAGAAGAGCCCTGAAAGAAGCCAGGGATAAGGCCCAATCAGGATTAAAATAAGGCAAAAAGGCCTTGAGTTGAAAGACAGGCTTATGTAAACCCACGCTGCGCTGGGTAATTCTTACCTATCAGCAAGGGAAAGCATTAAGCTTATAGTGGTGCTGGCTAAGTAGGCAGCCAACTATGAAGCGCTAGACAAGGTGCTGGTCCTCAGGGACCCCAAGTCCTTTTCAGGACTCGAGAGCATTAGCACCCCTAGCAAATGGTGGCGAGTTAGCTCGTTAATGCTGTGAGACGCGGTGGTCTCCCTGGTGGCTTCACCCTGAAGTAATGCTTACGGGGTTTTGGGGAGAATCAAAAGCCACGTGGCATGGAGAGAGGGGGTTTAGTGGGTATGGGTGGTCTAACAAAAAAAATCCACCAAAACCTACATTACCGCTGTCCCTACGGTGTGCCTCACTGCATTTTCCCTTTCTCCACAAAAAAAGAAACCACTTCTTCTATTATTACTACTGCTACTACTTCTACTACTACTACTACTACTACTACTACTACTACTACTACTACTACTACTACTACTACTACTACTACTACTACTACTACTACTACTACTACACTACTACTACAACTACTACTACTACTACTACTACTACTACTACTACTACTACTACTACTACTACATCTACTACTACTACTACTACTACTACTCTCGGGTAGGGTTTTCGCTAGTTTCTCCATACCGGGCGCTTCCTCGGGTGGGGGATAGGGGCATCCTCTTAAAATATAAGGTGATGATGGGCAGCTGGGGTGGCTCTCTGTGGTGTTGTCGGGGGCGTGGATCGGACGGCGTGTGTGGCGTTGGCGTGTGTATTTGTGGCGGTGTAGACGGGGGACTAGTGCCCCATGTCGCCATCGGTTTGGGTGCATGGGCCGGCTATGCTTGTGCTCCTTCATCTTCGCTTTTTGCCGCTGCTGTGGGTGGCACTCCATTTCTTGATGCGGGCCAACAAAAACTAGCACCCGTCGTGTATAGAAGTAAGCGGCAGTTAAAACATTCTTCTCAGATACATGCATCACACTCTCACTAAACAAACACTGGGACACTTACGGATTGTTCTGGGTTGCATGTGGGGGGTCCTTTTCTGGGCTTGCGTTGGAGGCCTGGTGACGGGTGAAGCTGGACGATGAGGCCCAGGTAAGTCTGTGTAATCCACATCTGATATGGCTGTATGCCTCATAAACAAAAAAGACGTTGTGGGCCGACTACTCTAGGCATCTACCACTGAGGAGGCTATATGGTGGCACCTTAGTCCCTTACGCCAGCTCGTTTTGCTTGGTTGTCTGCGCGTTCGTGGGACTGTTCGCCTACTGCTAGTCTCGATGGGGTGACCGTAGTGTACCAACATATACATAAATCACACGAACACCATTTTCAGACTACTACTCTCCCTTAACCAAAGGTGTCATGCGGACCGTGCCGAAAGCTTAGTTGGCCACCGGGGTACTGGCGGTCTTAAATGGTGCCTCGTGGATACCTGGCGACCTTCACGAGTATCTAGCCCTACCGGCACAGGCGGAGCTCTGTGTCGGCAGACTCTTATTTCCCTAGCTACTCGTGGGAACAAAAATGAAGGATAAAATTTCAAGGATTTTGGGAAAGGGGAGTTTAAGTGGTGGTGATGAAGGCCACGGCCGAGCAATGGGAGAGGAGAGCTAGAAAGTGGCTCTCTTTAACCTATTGCTGCAGGTCTTGCTTAATCTGGGTGGACTCGTCAAAAAATATGGGACCACCCAGAGGGACATAAGAAGTGGAGTTAAAAAGGCCCTATTCACAGCTCAGGGCCTCCAAAAGAAGTTGGCTAGTGTCGCGGCTGAGGGGGGAGGGTTGGAACCCTCACTTCTCTTTTCAACTCCTTTAGGGGAGAAGAAGAGAAAGGATGTTGGAAGCTCTTCGAGCCCTACTGTCCCGGTGCGACCGCCAACAAATAAGACGTGGCGGGCGGAGTCCTGTCCGAACGAAACGAACTGGACCCCGCCCACAAAGAAAGGAAATGGAGACGTTGGTCCACCTGATATAAAAGAGTGGAAGACCGTCTCCAAAAAAAAAAAAAAAAAAAAAAAGAACAAGATTGAGAAAGAGGAGGGCGCTATCCCGAATAAAGCTTTGGAGGGGTGCCCACCTCCTGGAAACGCTGGGAAGCCACATCGGAGGGCCAGGCCAGAGGCAATCCTCATCAAGCCAGCTGAGGGTAAAAAGAATGCCGAGGTCACGGCCCAGATGAAAAAGGTGAGCCTGGACGAGCTCGGGATGGGGGTGGCATCGGTCAGGGAGACGAGGACGGGTGGAGTCTCCGAAAGGCCAATGTTGAACGTCGCGACGCGTTCGCGGCAGCGTTAAAAAGCGCTGTGGCGGGTGCTGGTGGCGTTCGCACCCTCGTCCCGCGTCTCGTCTGGAAAATCCAAGATGTGGACCAAAGAGGAAGTTAGGGCGGCGCCGAAGGGTCGTTTTGAAGAGGCTGCTCTACCAGAGTTGGTCGTGCGGCTTTTGTCGGAAATGATCAGAGAAAACAGGGTCGCCCATATTGAGGCCCCTGCCTCTGCGGCGGCGGTCCTCGATAAAATGGACCACCTGCGGCTTGGCTGGGTCAACTGCAGAATTCGACCAAGAACTGAGGCCGAGCGTTGCTACAGGTGCCTTGGATTCGGCCACATCACTCACCAGTGTGGCGGGCTTGACAGAACCAGGGCATGCTTTAGATGTGGCAAAAACGGTCACGTGGCACGGAGCTGCTTGCAAAAAAAAGCAAGCTGCTACTTGTGCGAGAACGTGAGCCCGAGTCCAGATACCAGCCACATCACTAGGTCTGCCAAGTGTGGAGCCCTACGGGTAGCTGTAAGAATAGCTCCGAAGAAACGGCGCTGATCCTGCAGGTGAATCTTGATAGGACCGTGCTCGCGCAATATCTGCTGGACCAGTTTTCCCGTGCCCGGAGTGTGGATATGCTCTTTATAAATAAGCCATCCCGTACGTTACCGGGCTGAGACTGGTACTGCGACAGGACAAGAGGCGCAGCCATCCTGATTTGCAGCGACAAGTTCTCCATATCCGATATCGGAGGTGGCGACGGGTTCGTGTGGATCAAGTGTGGGAGTGCTTTCTATGTAAGAAACGATCATCGATCTCACGCTGGTGTTGTCAGAAATGGCGGCGTGAGTGTCTGAGTGGCAAGTCCTGGAGGACTACACGGCCAGTTATCACCAGTATGTCAGCTTCATTATAAACAAGGATCGGGATACAGGCTCGCGAGATGTAATCCGAAGGCGCGTTGCTGGGTGGAACGTAGAAAAACTCAACCGAAATTTGCTGCTGAAAGCCATGGTTAGCGCGCCACCTTCAGCTAATTAAAACAAGATCAGGAATCCAGTGGAGGCCAAGACACTCGTAAGCAGCACTACGAGACGGGTCAAGGAATGGTGTAACAGGTGTATGCCTAAAAGGCCAGCCACAGGAGGTCAACGTTCGTGCTACTGGTGGACCGAAGACATCACTAACTTGCGCAAAGAGGCGCAGCATCTGCGGCGTCATGCACAGCGACACAGAACTCACAGAGGTGCTGGGGTAGCTGTTGCCACGTACACGGGAGCAAAAAAAGCGTTGGTGAGAGCGATCAAGGTGAGTAAGAACCGATGCTGGTGCGAGCTTATCGCCGAGGTAAATAAGGACACGTGGGGCCTGGTCTACCAGATCGTGTTAAAAAGACTTCGTGGTACGAACCCAACGCCGCCGATGGAACCTTCCTTCTTGGAGAAAGAGGTCTCTTACCTCTTTTTGGAGCATCCCACTAGGAGGCGGGAGGACATAAGTGTAGGACAAGTACCGCTCTTCACGCTCGATGAATTAAGGTCAGTGGCATCGGAGACGCCGGGGCAAAAGGCCCCAGGTCTAGACGGGGTGCCGTCCGAGGTCCTCAAGATCATAAGTGCGGAGAAGCCACACGTTATGTTGGATATGTTCAATGCGTGCCTGCGCGTTGGACTGTTAAACGAGTGGTGGAAGATCCAAAGACTTGTTCTTCTGGACAAGGGCAAATCACCCCCCTGGTCCCGTCGTCATTTCAACCCTAAGGTGTGTTGAACAATACTGGCAAAATGCTAGAAAGGCTGATAAGAACCCGCCTGAGAGGGGAAGTCAGCCTCTCAGAAAATCAGTACGGGTTCCGAAAGGGGCCATCGATGGTTATGGCTGTGGCTGAGGTTCTCGAGTCGGTCAAGGAGGCATGGAACCCCTCTCATAAGACGAGGAGCGTCCGTATCCTGGTGACTCTCGATGTAAAGAATGCCTTCAACTCGGCGAAATGGTCCGACATAATGAGGGCCCTGAAGCGCCAGAATGTACCGGACTACCTGAGAAAGATCCTGGACAGTTACCTCCAGGATCGAGTACTCTGGTACGACACGAAAGATGGACCAAGAGAGAGGCGTCTGACGTCGGGTGTCGCACAGGGATCTGCCTTTGGCCCTGATCTCTGGAACCTGGTCTATGAAGAATTTTTGCTCCTTTAAATGCCTCTGGGGGTCAAGCTGACGGGCTTTGCTGACGACATAGCATTGCACGTCACAGCGAGATCGCGAGAGGAGGCCGAGCGCAAAATATGGTGGGCGGTCGCGATAGTGTCGGGATGGCTCTGGGATCACGGTTTTGAGCTAGCTGTAGGAAAAACGGAGTTGGTCGTCCTCACCAGGCAATGATGGTTCGGGAAAAATTTTTGCCAGAGCGTTGCGGGTGAGGTCATCTGCGCAAGACTGGTGGTGCGCTACCTCGGAGTGTGGATCGATTCACGACTCACCTTCGGGGAGCACATCAGGAGAGCAGCCGATAAAGCCGCTGGGGTCTCTGGGGCGCTTTCACTGTTATTGCCAAATGTTGGAGGCCCACGGGAAGCTAAAAGGCGGCTCCTTAAGTCGGTCTCCAACTCGATCCTGCTGAATGGCGCGGAGGTATGGGCGGACGCACTCGCGAGGAAGGATGTCCGAGAGCTCTTAAATTTGGTGCAGCGCATCAGGTCCCATAGAATTGCGTGTGCCTACCACACGGTCTCCTCCACTGCTGCTATGGTGATAGCACGGATGATTTTCGTCGACACTTGATTTAAACCAATAGTCGATGGTTGTGGATTCTTCGTGCAAGTTTAAATGAAAATATTGAACCTGAGAAAAGCATATAGTAATACAGTCCGCTTATTACGCATAGTGGTTAGTGTACGTTTCATGATTGTATTAGCATCAAAAAGCCATTGATTTCAAAATCCATTATGATGCATTTGGCTTATCACTAGGTAAAACCAAATATTTTATAATCGGAAGTAAATAGAAAACAAAAATAACAAAATATACTTATGGTTACAGCGCACAATATTTTTTGTCAATAAATCATTGCCATTGGAAAATTTTTGAACAGCTTTCACACCAGTTAAGGGACCGATTGTATTATTAAAAAAGCCCCGCCTAAGTATAATACAAACCGTTTCTATTTAACAATGTAAAACAAGAAAATACAAGTTTTAAAGTATACATTCATCGAAAATGATTAAAAATTACTACTTTAGGCACTTCCACACATTGTACGAATGTATCGTTCACAAACAAGCGCAATGCGTAGCAAACATTTTAGCACGCTTATCAAATGAGCTTCCATAATAGGTTTTATTATCAATGTTGAAACGATACTTAGAGCTAGATGTCTTCCTTGTGCTATTAGTATAATATTTTTGCAAGAAATTGTGATTAGTCAATTTTTTCCCTACTTTGTGTACTAGAGGTTGTGACGACAAATTAGTCAGTAATTTCACTAATCTTTTCAGCAGTCTAAGAAAGCGAAAATAATTTCCCATTGGTAAGATAATACAACAGTTGTAATTATTTTAGGAGATGCAAAAAATAGTGTAATAATATTTTGTTCTTAGTTTCTGAAAATGATGGACAGAAATTTGTAAGCAAACAAAAAAATTAAAATTTTGTCAGCACGGTTTAATGCAATTCGATTTGAAAATAAGAAATACAAGAAAGTAACAGTTTTCGTATGGTAAAATAAGAAGACGACTGTGAGAACTGTTCTAGTTAACGTACAAATGTGGTAACGATTCCTAAGATTTTTGAGCAAAAATACAGTCAGTAAAAGAAGAAAATTATCATTGGTTCAGGAAGAGGTACTGTGTTGGAGGGCCTATCTCATGCAACTAAGACCCAAGATACGCGAGAAAGAAAAGTGTGTAGGTAGAAGGCATATAAACTCATTGTGATAACAGTTGGTATCAAGAAGAAAGATACTTCAATTCCATGCTTAATACCACAGTGTTATTACTAAATGTGACTTGATATGATTGTATAACTATCTAATAAATTCATTTGTAACACAGCGTGTATTGGATGACTTAGAAATAAAGAAAAAATGTAGTTTCATGAGAAAGAACAATTTGTACAGCGTTTCTTGGTTGTTCATTGAACGCTGATAAATGGTCTGGTATACAATCTTGAGTTTCCTTTGTTATGACTACAGCAAAGAGTTCATGTTTAAAGGAGTAACAAAAGATAGTGGACTTTTTTACAGCATTTCATATTAGAAATCTAAGTTTGTGTGATAATTTAATATCTGTATTTACATTTAGTTTTTGTAATTGAGTTTAGTGCAACAGACGTCTCCACACAGCATCATTTTCAAATCGGAATCAAGCGGCTCATCTTTAAGAGAAATTAGAAGTATACTTGTGATATTTGTTTTGTATATCAGTATACATATAATTATGGTAGATGATTGCTACGACCATGACTATGACAATGACTCGAGTTATGAGTGTGAAGAGTGCTTGATGGACAATTATAAAAAGGAATATTTGGACAGGGGTGGTAAAGATATGTGGCACTTTCACGATGGGCAGTAAGTTCCCAACCCTAGTAATGGACCACAGTGGTTAGAAATTGTTGGAATATTAGTAAATTTATATTAAATGTGTAAGTAGTGACATCTGTTATGTGGCATGGGCACAAGGCTACCAAATTTTCGGGAGTTTGCCGCATGTGCAATGCGTAGTCACCTTCTCCTCTCTCATGCAGACTGAGTGGGAAGCTCCCTCTCTACCTATTCGTTAACTTGAGCCCCACCCACCTCCTGCAACTTAAATACGAGTTCTTATACATTGCAGGTACGAGCGCCGATGGTCGAGTGGACTAAACCTTTGTTCCTGACGAGCTAACTAGCCAGATTATCGATTCTCGCCGATGTCACATTTTTTTTTTTTTTCTAACAAGTTTGTTATAAATTACTATTTACCTATTAACCAATGTTTACAAATAATAATTTTTTTTAAATATACCACAGTAAGTATAAGTACTTAATATCATGAATCATTCTTGTGAATGTTGCTTGTTAAAGTCCAATTCAATTCTTTAAATTACTTTTTTAAAGAAAAGTAATAGTAAAATTTATTTTAACAAAAATTAAAAAGTCTAGAAAATATATTTCGCATATTTCCAGCTANTAATCATTTTCTGCCATAAATTATATAATGTATTATTCAAAAACTATAGAATAACTTTTTATCAAAACACCCAAAAAGTTATTATTAAAAGGTAAATTAATTAAAATATTTTAATAAAAATATACGCTCTCTCTGTAGTTTTTCCGAGCTTGATACCGGCTTATTAAATTTTGTTACATTACGTGCGTGTTTTTTTATTTAATTTTGTGTTTAGTAATTACAAACAAAGTATTTTGCGAATTTACTACAAAAATCCCATTTCCTTGTTTAAAATAAAATTTAAACATTTTAGTTGTGCTTAACAACTATTGCAAAAAAATTTATGAAATTCAGAACCAATAACTATCTTACGAAATATTGGTTTACCAACAATTTTTAAAGATACTAA